TCAGCTTTACATCAGCCTGCCAAAATGTTGTCTAAACAATTCCAATCACTCAACAACAGGCAAAACATATTATCAAGGAATATCCCACTTGCATGTTACATCTGTCTCAAGGGCCTAATACAGGAATTGACCCTCAAGGATTAATGGGGGACCATATCTGGCAAATGGATGTAACACATTATACTCCTTTTGGATGCCTTGGGGCATTGCATGTCTCTGTAAATACCTTTTCAAAGGGACTGTGGGCCACTGAATCTACAGGAGAAATGGAGAAACGGGTCATTAATCATTGCCTAACTGCTTTTTCCATCATGGGAATTCCAAAAATTATTAAAATTAATAATGGACCTGCATACACAAACTGTCATATCCAGCAATTTAAAAAAAACAAAAAACAGAAAATTCAGTACATTACTGAAATACCATACAATTCCCAAGGACAGGCAATTATAGAATTCCAACATAAATGGCTCAAATCCCAACTTGAAAAACCAAAAGGAGGAATAGTGATGCTGGAGAAATCTCCTGTAGGTAAACTACACCAAGCCTTAATTATCTTAAATTTTTTTACTTGTAACGCTGTTGGCAAGACACCTATGAAATTACACTGGTGTCAGAATAAACCAAAGGAAAATGGTTTGGTTTAATGGAAAGATCCTGAGTCTACTTTATGGAAGGGTCCAGACCCTTAGTTAAACTTTGGTCGAGGATATGCTTGTGTATTTCCAGAAAACTCCTCCATGCCCATGTGGATTCCTGCAAGGAACATTAAACTTCAACATGGATCTGAGAGAGGAACTGACCAGAATAATGAGGACCTTGCACCTAGAGCCTCACCCTGTACCTGTGGCTGCAGACAATTGACTACTCCAGCCACAGATAGCAGTAGCCCCAAATAAGATGCTGAAGATGAGGAATGGGAGGAGAACAAGACAGACAAGAAACAATCCAGAGATGACCTGGGGAATGGTAAAGAAGCCTTGCCATGCTAGCAGTCCTCAGTTGTGGGACAGTGCAGGTTACCCTGGACAAAGCCAGAGAAGGTTGGACCTGATTGTCATTGCCCACAATTTGTCCACCATCTAGAACTCAAATATCATTGCTGTCATGTCACAGGGAACAGTGATTGAGAAGGGGACCCATAAAGAACTAATAGCCCAGAAAGGAGCCTACTACAAACTAGTTCCTTAGATGCCTGGCAGCAATTTAAAAAGGACATGAAAGAACTCAATCCTTTTCATTGAATCTCCCTACATCTGCCTCTTAGCATAACCACTATTATCTGTCTCAGTCTTATTCTTATATGTTTATTTCTACTCTGCAGATGCAGAATGAAAAGTCTTAAAAGGACTCAAGCCCTACAGTCAGCATACACTTTTCAAGATTTTTTAAGAAAACAAAAAGCGGGAGATGGGGAAGCCACCCTCTGCTGATACTATCATGAGAGTGCACCAAGAAACGCGGAAGGCCAATGGAACTTAGGTGTTAGCAGGACTGACGCTAAGCACCTCATATATTGAGATAGTGGTGGCTTAAGGTAATTCCTTAACCTGATAATCCTTTTACTGTTTACCAAACTTTACCTTTTTATATGCCTGAATGCATTGCTAGAGGGCAAGATGTGTATCTAAAACTGAATAAAAAGCAGACAGGACCAGTTTTGGAAGTGCCTCTTCAAGAAAGAGGTCTCCACCTGGCCCCCCATGCCTTCTAAATTCATATTTCTTGCGAGTTTGATCTCTCTAAAAATTAATTTTTTAAAAAAGAAACAGGATTGTTTAGTCAACTAGATGTGTCGGGGTAGGAAAATAGTCTGAAAATGAGAAAAATTTTATTATGATACCTAAATTTGTCATTTAAGTGATTATAATGATAAAGATATTCATAATCAAAACTGGAAAAATAGGAGCAACAGGATTTATGAACATTGGAAGGAGAAGGTGTTTTAATTTTGTATATTGATCTCAACGTGTCTAAGGTGAAGATGTCTAGTAGACAATTGTATAGGGATCTGATTTTAGACCATTACAGACGAAATGATAAAGTCATCAGCTTATGAAAATATGGTAAAGCAGAAAAGTAAATAATATAGCATAGGAAAATAAAAGTGTAGAGTAGTATTCTGTAATATTAATATTTTAGAGGTAAGAAAATGAAAAAGAACCATAAAAAGAAAAAATGGGTGCCAAAATTATCTAATAGATATACTATATAATAAAGAGGTAATATGAAAATTGACCATCACACTCTCACACAAGATGGCCACCCCTATGTGGTCACAAGATGGCCACCACATGTTGGTCGGCAGGGAAGGGCAGTTGTGGGAGATCAGGCCAGCAGGGGAGGGCAGTTAGGGGTGAACAGGCCGGCAGGGGAGGGCAGTGGCAGCGATCGATCAGGCTGGCAGGGGAGGGGTTAGGGGCAATCAGGCCGGCAGGCAGGCTAGCGGTTGGGAGCCAGCAGTCCTGGATTGTGAGAGGGATGTCCAACTGCCGGTTTAGGCCCGATCCCACAGGCAGTTGGACATCCCCCAAAGGGTCCCAGATTGGAAAGGATGCAAACTGGGCTGAGAGACACCTTCCCCCCATGACCAAATTTCATGCACTGGGCCTCTAGTAGAAGTATAAAAGCCATTACTGATTTTTGGCTTAAAATCCTTTCAAGCACTGAGATTGCATCTGACTCAATTTTCTCTGCATAACTAACTTAATATCATATTACCTCTAAGGTACAAATTGGAACTGGCAAAATATCTTTCTTTTGTGATTGGTTATACTAATCATAATTCTTAAATCCAGCTCATTAAATTTTTATATAATATACTAGAGGCCTGGTGCACAAATTTGTGCATGGGTGGGGTCCAAATGGGGGGCAGGGAGGCCAATCAGGGGCCAGACCAGTCAGGGGGATGGAGGGGCTGCAGGAGGTTTGGGGGGGTGATCAGGGCCCCCATCAGGCCAGTTGGCCACCTCAGTGCGCATCATAGTGACCAGTCATTCAGGTTGTTCCAGTTGTTTGTGCCCTCTCGCAATCTGGGACCCCTTGGCGGATGACCACCTGCTGGCTTAAGCCCTCTCCCCAGGGGATTTGGCCTAAGCTGGCAGTCAGACATCCCTCTGGCAGCCCAGGAGCCCTCAGGGGATATCCACTTGACAGCAGGGAGCAGGCCTAAGCTGCAATCGGACATCCTTAGCACTGCTGAGGAGGCGGGAGAAACTCCCACCACTACCTCTGTACTGGCAGCCATGAGCCTGGCTTGTGGCTGAGCAGAGCTCCCCCTGTGGGAGCACACTGACCACCAGGAGCCAGCTCCTGCATTGAGCATCTACCCCTTGGTGATCAGTGTGTCATAGTGACCAGTCATTCCCAGTCGTTCTGCTGTTAGGGTCAATTTGCATATTACCTTTTATTCTATAGGATAGAGGCCTGGTGCATGGGTGGGGACCAGCTGGTTTGCCCTGAAGGGTGTCCTGGATGAGGGTGGGGGTCCCGCTGGGGTGCCTGGCCAGTCTTGGTGAGGGTTGATGGCTGTTTGCAGGCCAGATAAGCCCCTCAGTGGGGATCCTCACCCCATGAGGGTGTGGCCAGCCTGGGTGAGGGGCTGATGCCTGTTTGCAGGCTGGCCACAGCCCCTCCAGGGTGGGGGTCCCCGCTGGGGTGCCTGGCCAGCCTGGGTGACTGGCTGATGGCTGTTTGCAGGCTGGCCACAGCCCCTTCAGGGTGGAGGTCCCCCCTGGGTTGCCAAGCCAGCCTGGGTGAGGGCCTGATGGCTATTTGCAGGCTGGCCACAGCCCCTTTAGGGTGGGGGGTCCTGCTGGGGTGCCTGGCCAGCCTGGGTGAGTGGCTGATGGCTGTTTGCAGGCTGGCCAAGCCCCCCAGCCACCCAAGCTCCCAGTGGAGGCTGGTTGGAAGCAGGTATCTGGGATTTATTTATCTTCTATAATTGAAACTTTGTTGCCTTGAGTGGAGGCCACAGCCAGCCAGGGCAGGCGGGAAGCTTGGCTTTCTCCATTGCCGGGGTAACCAAGCCTCCTGCTTGCTCCAGCTCCATGGCTTCCAGCTGCCATCTTGGTTGGGTTAATTTGCATATAGTCACTCTGATTCGCTGGTGGGTGTGGCTTGGGGGTAGCAGAGGTGCAGTCAATTTGCATGTTTCTCTTTTATTTGATTAGATAGACAGATAATCAAATCTAAAATCATGATAGAAATTTTTTTAATGTAATATTGTAGTTGAATGCCATGCTGTAGGGTTTATTTCTCTGTCTCTATCTAAAACATTAACTATCTTTTTTTCCATATATATATATATATATATATATATATATATATATTATTTTTAATATATTTTTATTGATTTCAGAGATGAAGGGAGAGGGAGAGAGAGAGATAGAAACATAAGTGATGAGAGAAAATTATTGACCAGCTGCCTCCTGCATGCCCTCACTGGGGATTGAGCCCAAAACCCGAGCATGTGCCCTGACCAGGAATCAAACTGAAACCGCCTGATTCATGGGTCAATGCTCAATCACTGAGACACACCAGTATTTAAGAGAAAAGGTCTAATTCAATCTCTACATTCTCTAGAAATTCTTCTCTGACATAATAAGTTCAAGCAAAACTTTTCCTTCTTTGACACTTTGGGTTAAGTTAAAGTAGTGCACTATATTAAATGTATATATGTAGACATGTATACATTTCCCTGTATTGAATTTTCACTGTATTAAATGAGGGCATTATGTCTAAATGTACTTCTTTTTCTTATACTTTATATTAAGTTCTGTATAAATAAGTACTCAGGGAAGACCTGTTGGCTTGAAAAACTTCACTTACAGATAATAAGCTTGTTCTCACAGCTTTTTTCTACAGGAAAAAAAAAAAAAAAAAAAAAAAAAAAAAAAAAGAATGGAATTTGGTGAGTGGCAGAAGGAATGTTTGTCTCCTGAACCTTTTAGCACCCTTGCTAAGAAGCACCATTAACTAAGGCTAACAATAGTTCTTACCTGAAATTGCTGTTTGTATCACCAGGAAAAATATTATAGAAAAGCATCCAAAGAAAGTGTGGGCAGTAAACTCCATTTTACCTGGAAAAGGAAAAGAAGGAAAATTAATATTTGATTAGTAGAGAGGCTATATTGTATACATTCAGTAATTTATTGATTCATGCTGTCAAGAAATATTTAATAAGCACATATTTACGAGACACTATTTATTAAGAAAATAGAAATAATCAAATTATCTGTTCTAGAGAAGAAAATATATTTTAATATACACTTAGATTATTATATATGAAAATAGTCATGTATATAGTACATAAATAAAGATTAAACTCTATTTGAAAGGTACTTTTTGAGATCAAAAACTATCTTCATAGATTTTATTTTTGTATATTACATTCTGTAAGGAAGTTCTGATCCTCTTTCTTATCCAAATAGATGGCAAATCATCATTTGAAACCTAACTTCATCCCAATACCTATTTTAAAGTAAGTATAATTGTTACTTTTTTTTCTCAGTATAACATGGTAAATAAAAGTTCAGTTTTGATTGTTTAATTTCCACAATTACTTAATTTCTAAACTAGTCAAGTTGTTTAACTTCTCTCTATGTTAATTTCTTCAACAGTAAAGTGAATATAATAAACAAAAATTGCTACAAAGTCTTAAAGTGCTGAACACTGCTGTATGGTATATATGAAATGTTAAGAGAGTAGATTCTCACAAAGGAAAAAAAAACACTTCTTGTACTTATATGAGATAATAGATGTTAACTTATTGTAGTAATCATTTTATAACATATATAAGTGAAATTATTTTGCTGCATGCCTTAAACTTATACAGTACTGTCTGTTAATTATATCTCAGTAAAAGTTGGGAAAAGTGCTGAACACCATTTTATTTTTATAATCATTACTAGAGGCCCAGTGCACGAAATTCATGCATCGGGGTGGGGGGTTCTCCTCAGCCTGGCCTGCACCCTCTCCAATCCGGGTTCCCTCTCACAATCCGGGACTGCTGGCTCCTAACTGCTTGCCTGTCTACCAGCTTGATTGCCGCCTAACCGCTCCCCTGCCATCCTGATGGCCCCCAACTGCCCTCCCCTGCCAGCCTCATGGCCCCCAACTACCCTCCCCTGCTGGCCTGATTGCCCCTAACCACCTCTGCCTCAGCCCCACCACTGTGGCTTTGTCCAGAAGGAAGTCAGATGGTTGGCAGATGTCTGATCTCCCGGTCTAATTAGCATATTACCCTTTTATTAGTATAGATTATTGCCACTTTTGGTATTCTTATTATCTATTGTTAATAATATTTTTACCTTTACTAACTTAAAATCCCTTTAAGCACTGAGATTATATCTGACTCAATTTTCTATGCTTAGTGTTTAAAGAATATTTATAGGATTAAAATGACTTATTCAATTATTCATTCAGTGCATAATGTAGATCAGGACTTTCCTAGAAATAGAGATAAACAAAACCCTAAAACATAAAACATTCTTTAAAAGAGTATAGTTTTTGCTCCACCTTTAACTTAGCTGTTAACATTACAGGCTCGGCACCTATCCAACTTAATAATTTTTTCCCCTATAAAGAAGAATATAGAACTGCAAACTAAATCTCACCAAATTAAAACTGCTAATCAACTTGTTAAATGCAAAGGGAATGTGTTGCAATCCTGAATTCAATTATTTTTATTTCTTATTTTTACTAGCCCATCTTAAACAAAATAGTTTAATTATCTTTCAAAATTGTAATACATTAAGAGAAAAAGTAAAAGGAGAAATTAGGATAAATATAAAAATCAGAGAAATAAGTGGCAGCCATATATAAAGTAAGTTGACACCATTTCTAATGGCAAAGCATTTTCCAGAGAACAATGTACTATTGAAAATAATGAATTACTTTATTCATAGTATATTGGTTTTCAATTTCTACATAACAAATTAAGAAATTACTGGCTTAAAAAAGCATACATTTATTATCTTACAGTTCTGTAAGTCAGAAATCTAGCAAGCTTGGCTGGCTACTCTGCTTAGGGTCTCACAAAGCTGAAATCAAGATTTTGACCAGACCCAAAAAAGTCAATAATATTCAAACAGAAAAATCAAAGCAGTTTTGATACATAATAATCAAATTTATGAAAACCCTTCAAAAAATTTTAAACAAAAATACAGAAAATGACACATTACGAACTGGATAGAAACAATATTTTAAAAATTATATACTTCTCATAAAATGTGGAGAACAGAATTCATTGAAACAACATCTTTAAAAGGGTAACATTTAAAATAGAGAAATAAAATAATTGTCAGCCCAGAATTTAATATCTGATATCATATAAAATATTCTTCAACATAAAAGAAATAACTAAGAAAAGGAAGAACATGTCTTTCTTTTTGTGTGTGCTGAAAGCTTAATATCTTAGCTAATTTCAAGTCTACAATACAGTTTAATTAACTATATTCATTCATCTTAAAGCTGAAAATTTGTATCTGTTAACCAACAACATCTTCCTCTCACCCCCTTTTTTAACCTCAGAAAGCCATATACTCTGTTTCTATGAGTTCAACCTTTTTTTTTCCAGATTCCACACATAAGTGAGATTATACAGTATTTATGTATCTCTGCATGACATAATACTTAGCAAAATGTTCACTTAATTTCATGCATGTTATTACAAATGGCAAGATTTCTTTTCAGAAACCTATAAAGGCAACTTCATTAGGTCATCATCAGATTTTTCAGCAGAAACTAAGAGAGTGTGAAATCAAGTATTCAAGTTATTAAAATAAAGAAATCACCAGCCAAGAATACAACATCCAGAAAAGTTATCCTTTAGATATGAATAAGAAATAAAGGCTTTTCTAGGCATACAGGAGCTGAGGGAATTTACCATCATATGACTGACATTACAAGAGATACTGAAGAATGCTCTTCTACCTGAAATAGACAAAATAATCCAAAATATAAGTAAGATGAGTAACATACAGAAGCAGGAAATTGCAGACAGATGTATTAAACAGTTAAATATAACATAAAGGTTAATGGAAGTACTAGCATTTTTTAAAAGAAAAGAAGAGAATAGCTACTACAATTCAGAAATGAACTCATTGCATAGAAAGGGACAATTTGAGACAACTAAAACATAAAAGTGAAAAGATTGAACTAGTGCAAGTGAATGAAGATAAGATGCAACCAGATGAAAAAGGACTACTGTACATATAAAACTTACTGCTGCATAAACCTAATTGTAACCACAAAAAATCTAGAACTGAGATACATAACATAAAAAAAGGAAACAGAGGAGAAAAATCATAGGATACCACAAAACTAAAATAACAGACAGAAGCACAAGGGAAAAGAAACTATGGAGACACAGAGCTACCAGAAACCAAAAGATAAAATAGCTATAGGAAACCCTCATTATCAATAATCATTATCCTAAATAAAATTAGGCTGAATTCACCAATTAAAAGGCATATAGTATGGGATGGATCAAAAAACAAAACCCAACTGTTTACTGCATTGGTGCACAAATTTCACATCTCCGCTGCAAGGACAAGCATAGATTCAAAGTGAAGTGACAGAAAATAATATTCCAAGCAAATGACATCCAGAGAAAAGTGGATGTCGCTGTACCAATAAAATAGATTTCAAGATAAAACAAAAAAGGTAACAAGAGACAAAGATGAACATTTGTAATGATAAAGGGGTACAAAGACATCAAGAGGACATAAGACATCCTATATAATAGAAGCCAAATATGCAAATTGTTTGACTGGGAGTTCCATCAGAAGTTTGACCACTCACTATGACGTGCGCTGACCACCAGAGGGCGGCGTGGAACATGGCAGGCATCAGCGATGCAGCCCTGGCAGTGGGCCGCAATGGAGGCACTGCTGGCCCTGATGCGCCTGACGAAAGTGGGACTACAGCAGGATGGTGGAGCAGGTGAGCGGGTGGCGCCAGGCTAAGGTGGGTGCGAGTGGGGCTGATCACCCCGCCAATAGCCCCACAAACTGCGCCTGGCGCCACTGCCTGCCTCCCAGGTGCTGAAGAAAATAGATGGGAGTTTCCAGCCCCAAACTATCACCCCAAAGATGGTGACCAGTGGTGGTGGTAGGGAGTGGAGCTGCTACCCCGCTCCCAGGCACTGAGGGAGATGGGCAGAGGGCCTGACCCTGATCAATCACCCTGCATATGGTGACCAGCGGCCGGTAGGCCTTGATTGCTCAATAGGGTCCAGGCCCCTGGCTGGGATGGGGAACTTGGGGTGGGTGGCGGCGACCAACCTGCCGTGGCACCCAGGGAGGAGGCTGCAACCTCTTGCCGGCTAGCTGGGGTTGGGGGTGATGGGGACGGAGGTGCGGTGAGAATGCGGGGTGCATCCCAGCCCGCAGCGTCCAGCTGTGCTCATAGCATCTCTGCATGGGGACTCAGACACTGTGACTCAGGCGGAGGGGGGCGTGTGGGGGCATGGGGACCCAGGTGCTGCCTAGGGCCCAGAGGTTAGCTTGGACCTGCCCTTCCACACTAGACGCTCGTGCTTTGATCACCAGCCAGGACTAGGGACTGCATCCACGCACAAATTTCATGCACCAGGCCTCTAGTTAATATATATGCACCCAACCTAAGAATACAAAAATGTATAAATCAATTACTAACAGAACTGAAGGGAGAAACTGACAAAAATACAGTTATAATAACAGACCTAAGTAACCCATTAACAGCAATGAATAGATCATCAAAACAGAAAATCAGTAAGGAAATATTGGCTTTATATGGCACATTAGATGAAATAGACATAATTAATAGCTCTGTGTCTCCATAGTCTCTTTTCCCTTGTGTTCTGTCTGTTATTTTGTTTTATGGTATTCTATGATTTTTCCCGGTTTCCTTTTTTTCCTCATGTGCCTTCATTCTAAACTTTGTCATGATTATCATTTATGCAGGTTTATGCAGCAATAAGTTTCATATATGCAGTAGTCTATTTTCATCCCAGAACACATAATGTTCATTCTTTGCTAATGCACACAGAACATTCTCAAGAATAAATTATATGTTGGGACGTAAAATTAGTCTAAAC